AAACTGTTAGTGTTTAATTTTTTATAAAATGTGATGTAGATAATTTTTGTGGTAGATTGGTAATAATAATAATAATAATAATAATAAATACTGTTAAATAAATGTATAAGACTGAAATAGCTTAAAAAACTTTTGACCCGTTAAAAGTAAAATAATGAATGTAGTAATTTAAAATACCACCAAAAATGTTACGTTGAGAGACTCTGTCTTTATATAAATATTATTATTTTTTATCGAATAATTTGAGGTATTAGTTCACTAGTTAAATATTTATGTCATTTAGCCCATTAATTTTCTCCAAAATTATTTTCTGTAAACATAAAAATTACACAGTGAATATTGGTTAATAATTAAAATTAATATTTTAGCACTGTTGCAAGATTAGGAGATTTAATCTTAGATCCCAATGTTGACGATGGAGCTTCTCCTCAAGATATTGCAATCGAAAAGATAATTCCACATGAACTATACAATAGACGGCGTCATAGTAATGATATAGCTATTCTGAAACTAGCCACTCCAGCTAAATTTAACAGTAAGTGTTTAAAGTAAATTTGATTGAATACATTAATTAATATAGGCATTGTAAATTTTTAGAGAATGTTCAACCTATTTGTTTACCAACTTCACAAAAATTAAGGACTAAATTATTTGTAAAATATACTCCTACAGTTATAGGTTGGGGAACAACTGAAGTAAGTAAGTGAACAATTCATGAAGAAATTAATTTACTACATTTCTACTTCTGTAAATATTGAATTAATTACAAAAATTTACTGAATTAATTTTATTTATTTTTATCCATGTATAAAATAAAATTATTCACTAACATGATATAATTAGGTATAATTAAGAGGTAACTGTTAAAGTTAAATGTTACTATTTCTATACAGAGTGGAACAGATCTAACAACTAACAACTCATATAACTTATGTATACATTACATTTTATACTCTTTAATAATTTTTATGTTATTTTTCGCAATTACAAAAAATATTTTAAAAATTAATTTTTATTTTTTAATTTGAAGATTAAGCCATTTTATAGATAAGATTTAAAGAAAAATTTTGATACCAAAAATTCTTATTTTAATTCAGTGGTTACGTTTATACAACATTTTGAAATTTGTTAAATTTTGATTTTTTATACAATTTTCCTATGGTGTCAACTGTTAGCCCATATTATGTAAAGTATGGAAGTACGCATTTATTACGTTTTTAGTGGTAACAGTACGCGATTTCTTTTCCATGAAAATTATTAACACTTAAATAAACTTTTAACTTGGCTAACAATCAAACATTTGTACGATAATGTTTCTAACTTTTGTAATAAAGATTAGAGATAATCATTTCTGTATAAAGCGCGTTAAACATTATTATTATCCATGAAAAAAAAATTGCGTACTGTTAAAAGTATATCACATAATAATACAGTGTTTACTTCCGCACATTACATTATATGGACTAACATTTTATACCATAGAAAAATTGTATAAAAATCAAAATTTAACAAAATTCTGTATAAACGTAATAACTACTGAATTAAAATAAGAGTTTTAGGTATTAAAAAAAAAAAGTATAAAATTTAATGTAGATCATAAGTTATATGAGTTGTCAATTAGATATGTTCCATCTTGTATAAATGAATGAATAATAGACTAAAAAATGTAGTATAAAGCCTTATTTTCCAATATTTTTTTTATGAACAAAGTTTTTTTATTTTAATGTTAAATATGCATTTTAGTAGTAGTTTCCTACTAATTCTTATTTAGATTATCTAATGAAAAGCTTATATCATTATTATCAGTTAACTACTATTGAATAATAGAATTTATTTTATAAATTTTTTTTTTCATTTGAGTTATACAATCTATACAATATTAGCACAATAAGCCCAAATGGTTAATGATTTTTTGATATGATTATTTTGAGAAGAATAACATCCTTCTGACAACACTATTTTTGAAGTAATACTATTTAGTAGTAAGATTTTTTTTTTTTAATTTTTTTATATTTATTATAAGATAAAAAGATCTCTACACCACTTCCTTTTTAGTTTTTGGGAGAATTGAAGAATGGTTTAGAAAAGAATTGTGGTATCGAGTGTAATGTTACACTAATACTGTCTTTAGTTGTAAGTCTGAATGTAAGGAATAGTTCGAAACATAATATTTCATAATTATTAATTGTTGCTCAGAAATCTTCAGATTTGTTATTAGAATTAGGGTGGGTATTAGGTCGGGGACAGATGTAGCTTGAGCATATGAGTAATTAAGTAGGTTAATAACAGCAGGGGTATATCAGTTATTGTAAGTTAGTCGGCTTGTGGATTTGATTGGATTACATTTTTAGGGGGTTGTTTAAAAGTATATTGACGGTTTCGCTGCAATTGTTTGTGAAATCGGGAGCTTCTATAGTTAGCGGAATGTTGGCCTTGACACAGAGCACATGGTGTTCTGTCAATTAGTTAGGTGTATAACATTCAGTGGTGGTTTTGACCACAACGTACGCATCTCGAATCATAACGACAGTTAGAATGGGTGTCATCGTATTTCTAACAGTTTTGGCATTGTACAATCTCTCAGCGTTTGTGAGGTTGTCCAACCCATATATTGTATGAAGAATAGAGGTTATAACATTGTCTTATATACCAATTATTACATTATTAAGTTCTTCTTCGCTATCTGAAGTATGTATAGGAGAGTATCAATTTGAAGTAATAAATAGTTTTGTTATTTTTTTTATGACTATTTGGTGAGGAAAGCAAAAGAGAAGTTTTTGAATGAAGTCTCTTTGAATTATTCTGTTGTTGACAATCGTTTTAGTAATCACTGCATATTACTTGATTTTTATGTGTTGTTGATGGAGCGGGTTTTGAGATATTATTAATAGTTTGATATAACATTATTATTGATGTACTTATCTGAACCGTTACAATAATGTGAAGCCGGGTGGTCGATGATCGAAATGCTGTTTTTATATCAGAGTTGAACTAATTAATTAATTTAAAATAATGCTCACCAAACGTAGAGTCCATAATGATTACACTACACTCTAAGTGAATACTGATGAAAAAAAATGTCTTCAAGTTGATATAACAATCAAGTCAATCCGATTTATTTCGTATGACGTTGAGAGCTTTTAATACAAAAAATTTAAAATAACGTGGTTACAGATATTCTGTCCACAAGGAGCTAATTTTTTTATAACAATAAAATTATTAAATTTTATGTCAGTTAGACGAACAATTGCATGTTATCAAATAATTTTTATTTTCTACAAGTCTTACAAGATACTAATCTTATCTGTTTGGAAAGGTATTTCGTAATTTTTTTTAATATGAGAAATATAAAATATCTGTTAATCATTTTATTAGATGGACCATTAAGTAATGCATTGATGGAAGTCGGTCTTCCTATCGTTGAAAATAGAGATTGTAATCGTTCTTATTCATCATTTCCTGTTACGATAGATAACAGTGTATTGTGTGCAGGGTATTTCAAAGGAGGAAAAGGTTCATGCCAAGTAATTATAATTTGTTTCTCAAATAAAAAACTAATAGTTGCATTGAAAAAATATTTTTGATGTAGAAAATATACATATTTATTATATTAATTATTTTGTAGGGTGATTCTGGAAATCCATTAATGATACCTCAAAGTGGACAGTGGTATTCAATAGGAATTGTCTCCTTTGGTTATAAATGTGGTGAACCTGGATATCCAGGCGTCTATACCAGAGTAACTCACTTTGTCGATTGGATATTAGACAAAATAAATAATAATTAGTGTTATATTAGTTAAATAATACTTCATTATACTTAATTAAAAAAAAATTGAATACAGATTTAAATACTTGAATTTATTACTTTTAATTAAAAACAGATTTTTACAAAATGCCATTTTTTGAATATTGTATTTAATAACTTTTAAACCCCATATGAACAATGTTTACATGTCTTATTTTTTAACTGGAAAAATTTATAATTGACAATTGAACCAGTAATTTCTAATGCTTTTTGAATACGTTGGAATGTTGTTAACAGGCGCCTACAAATACAAAGAATATATAGAGTGATTCGTTAACTACGTCTAACGCATTATAAGTAATTAAACTATTACAAAAATTATTTCTTAACAAGCAATAAACAATACCTAGCTATGTCATTTAAAACTATTGTATTATTTATTGATGTACTTACTGAAAATATTGTCGCATTAAATAGATAATATAAATCATCTTTAACAAATGTTATAGTATTATCATTTGCATAAAAAGCAACATCTATACTCGCTGGTACATTTTTCCAATCTCTCAAAGGTCTAGGATACTCATTGGATACTGGAGGCTTGATAATTGGATCATATACCCAGTATTTTTCGCCTTTAAGAAGAAATTATGATAAATATATTTTAATTTATATAACTGTTAGGTTCATATACCTTTAAAAAAATAAATCTTGTCATTTAAATTCATTGAGCTGTCAATATTATTTGGTATACCGGCGAAACCAAATGTAATTTCCTTGGGAAATCCTTTATCTAAAGAAGTATCAGTAAATCTCCAATACTTAGAACCTTTGAAAAAGTAAGTCTGGCCGTTTTTATATGTAAATGCAGCATCAATATTATTTGGTAGTCCTATCCATTCATCGATAATTAATTTTGGTTGTGGATTTTCTAATCCCAGACGTGTCCATTTCCAAAAATAATCATCTATCAAAAAAAAGAAAAATACTATTTTAATTTGGTTTATGATAAATTATTTAGCAACTGAGATTAATTGTATATAATAATATAGAATATATAAGCATCACATGTAACATAATTAGTAATTTGACACATTTTAGCGTGAGGATTTGTGCGTGAAACACTAAGTTATTTCCTTTTTTTGTTCTTTCCAAACCATAATTTACAAAAAATTTTAGAATATTACTACATTAGACTATTTCTTACCTTACAAATTTTAAATGTTTGGTTTTTTGTTCCTATTTTTGATTCTGTGCCATAAGTAAATTTTATCGTTAATTTTTAAGAATGTCATGAATGTTATTAAGCTATCCTTTTACCAAAATATAGTTTAAAATGGTTATTTTTATAAACTAATAATAAACGATTTGTTTATAAATTTCATAATAAGTTTTTTCCACAAATAATAATAACGAAAACATTTTTGCATATACATATACATACATATAGAATATTCAAAAAGTAAGGAAACGGGTCGATTGTTCTATATAATGAGTGTATGAAGTAACTACTCGGACGACAATTAGTCAATTGAAGGTTTACGTCTTTGATGGTCATTGTAAAGACAAATTAAAATAAATTAAATTAATAAATCTAACATTTTGTGAACTAAACGAAACGTGAACATATAGCGAAACCTATTTTAATGTATATATTATAATAGATTTTAAAATCTTTACATATTCAAAAACTATGCATGACTTTTGAATTTG